CTGGTACTGATTTTAGTAAGTTTGCTATATTTTTTTACTTAATATTTTCATTAGATTTAATAGGTTTTTTTTAATTACTTTGGAGTAAAATATATTGAGTGATATTACTTCATTTTTTACACTTTTAGATTATGTATTGTTGTCTAGATTCTTTGTTAAATTACAATTTATTGATGTAAATAAATTTTTATTTTTGATAGACAACTTTTAATCGAAAAATAAAAATAAAAATTTAAGGAGGCGTGAACTTTATATTAAATGCTTATCCACAGTGCTCTGTGATAAGACCTTGAGGACTTCTTGGAGCACCTAAAATAACATTAAAAAAAAAGTTGTTGAAATATAAGAAATGCTGCTCAGTGAGCAGAAAACTTACTTGCCAGAATTCAATGTCAAGCAGTGTTAATGTGTGTTTATTTGATTTTATTCTAAACACTTTAAAACAATTTAAATCAAATAGTTTTAAATTTAAATGATTTTAAATTTTTTTATAAATTCAAACGTAAATATGTTCTTTTTTTTTTTAGTTGCCTTTGTTATCACTTGATTAGTTTGCTTACTGTTGAAACATGGTTTTAATTTTGTAAATTTAATGATATGAAATTTACTCTATTAATCATTAGTTGACAGTTAAAGAGAAGCTGGAGCTTTACATAATAAAGGTAAAAATAATTTTGTTTACTCTTAGATAAGAGTTGAAAGAGAGTTAGTGCATGGAGCATCAATAAAACTTATATAATTACTTTTTAGTTTAAAAAAAAGTAATTATATAAGTTTTGTTAATGCCACAATTGATAACGACCATGTATATAAAAAAATTTATGAGCTGCTTGGTATTTTATGATAAAATTGTTCAATATTGTAATCAATAAAATCTTTTTAGCTCAAGTATTTTAGTTGATAAAATAATTTAAGTTGTGGTGTTATACGTTATTACGTTATTTACTACGTTAAGTTGTCTAGCCTTTATATAATCTTTTCTTTTTTAATCATTTTGGAGAGACATAGTAATGTGTGCTTACAAATATCTTATGCTATGCGCTATTGTTAATGTGTTTTGTGTTGATACTAGAACTGGGCTATTACAGCAATTTTTTTAAGTCGTTATATCTTCATTCTATCAACAATAAAATGCAAATAATACTTTGTAATTATTTTTCGTTCCTTTTTTTAGGCATTGGAAGGCTTTACTTGACTTTCTTTTTATGGTACCTGCTGTGTTGTAACAGATCTTAAAAAGAACTTTACGGATGTTAACGTAGTCTTTTTTGTTGGTAACCGTAAGCAATTATTTAATTACTAATAACCCGTATTACGGGTTGCTTACTGCTAGTATATATTAATATATATATATATATATATATATATATATATTTGAAACTAAAAAACCATTAGAAATTGTTTTTACTTAGTTGCATACAAAATCAAATATAGTATTACATAAACACACAGTTTAAATTGTGTGTGTGAAACTACATAAATATCATGTAATAACACAACTACTAGATTAATTTTATGCAACTAATTTATGAGACACATCCATACCTCATAGAATGCACTACCTGTATTATCAATATAGCTACGAAAAAATTGAAACACTGTTTATACATACATCCATCACAACAAAAAAAGACAATGCAACTTTTCATCAAAAAGAAAGACCAATGCAGTCATCAAGCTAGGAGCCATAGGTAGATCAGAAGCAGTTGCAACTTTTAGCTCTTCCATTGATTGCATAGCTTTATCTATGTGTTCATTTGTAGATTTACAGTTGAACAAAAATGCTGCTAATTTTTGGTCAGCTAATGAAGTTGTTAATTTTCAGTGGCTTTTAAGCCACCCATCAACACATCAAAGTGATTCAGTAATCCGCTAACCTACACATTATTATTGCATAACCATTCAATTATACATGTATTTAAAACTACATAATTATTAAAAACTACATAATTATTCAATTATCTATACTCAATTATATACAGGTATTAAAAACTAAACTTACTAAAATCTACATAATTATTCAATTATACATGTATACTTATTCAATTATATAAGAAGTTATACAATTGAATAACCTGTCCAAAATTATTAGATGTAACAAAACAATTAAGTAACTATTTTAATGTTAGAATATGTAATTAAGATAAATAAAATAAAATTCAAGTATTACCGTAAACAGCTTTGGAAACTGTTGCATCAATTCTGGGAGCAGAATTAAGTTCCCATTTATAGCACTTCGCTGCAACCTGTACAGTTTTTCAGCTTTTTATGGATCCATAACTATCTCTCTTTCTATTCATAAAAGGATGGTTTGTTTCATCGTCTTGAGCAGATAGTTGTTATAAAATTTACATATAACAAAAAGAAATGATTATAAATATGTAAGTTACTTACCAGAAGATCCTTCTGCTGCTAAAATTTCAGTAGAAGAGCAGGGTATACATGGTGACGACGTCATCAATGCTGGTGTCAACATGTTGGAATCAGCTGTAATGAAATGGTCACAATAATCACTAATAATGTTAATTATAATCAACTAAGAAAAAAAAATTTAGCTTGGCATAAATTTTTTATTAATGAAATGATGTACTTGAATAAAAAATTTATTTTCAAAATCATAAGATCATTGAACAAAATAATTTATTTTTCATAAATTATAAAATATATACTTCCATTAAGAAAAAAAAAACTTATGAATTACAATGACAATGATGAAACAAATTAATCAATGCTATAACACAAGCATGCATACCAAGTAATATATACATCCTATGATAGTAACATTTTTTACTTTGGTTGGGTAGCAGTATGATATTACATAATATATAACATAATATATTATGTTATATACTAAGTAATATCATACTGTTATACAACCATCCAAAGTAATATATTATATAATATATTATGTTATATACTATGTTATATCATACTGCTACACAACCATCCAAAGTAAAAATAGTTTATATTAACAAAACAAAACTTTATATTTATATTTTTTCTAACACAAGCTAAAACTAAAAAGTTTTGATCACCTACCCACATTATTTGATAACCATGATTGAAGTAGTTTTCGTTTTTGTATTGGTTTAGGCCAAACAAGTCTTCAAATGTAACTAAATGAAGATCTGCTTGAGTCTCCACTTCAACATCCAGCTCCAAACTATTTGCAAGTTGCTCTAATAAAGTTGCATCTATAGATGGCAGGATTCTAATGATGCTGGTTTTAGTAAATTCCATCACCTACACAAACAAAAAACACTGTTAACTCTGTAATGATTTAATATTATATAAGAGAATAGCGCAAATGTATCAGGGGTTAATTTAGGTTAATGAATAAATTTAATAAATCAGGGTAATCAGTCAGTTTAAAAAACAGAAGAGATTTTTTAACATTATTGTTATCATGACTATTTAAAAATTTAAAACTAGAAACATTTAAAAAAATTAATAGTTGAAATTTTAAACAAAATATTTTATAAAAATAAAACATTAAAAAAAAAAATGATTTGAATTAATATTTATTAAATTATTATTTATCTGTTCTTAAATCTTGACACTGAACATGACACTGCATGTTTAAGTGAAACCATCTTTCGATGCTGGTATATGTAAGCTGGTAAAGGCAGATAGTCAATTAAGCATGGCAGTGCAAGACATATAATTTCATCTGTAGAACCAAATATTTCATATAAACCAAGTTCATGGACAAACTCAGTCTTTTGAATTGCGACAATAACCCAAGGAATGCTACAGCTTGGATCTATAAAAATAACTAATTTTTTTCCAAAAATTGGAAACTCATAATCTTTTGAAAACTCACACAATAAAAAGAGATTTTTCTTGTAATGTGTGCCACGAAAAACAACATGCGTTGAAACATCATGCGGAAACTGACCACATGTATTTAATATTAAACTGTTTATTAAAGAATTGAAATTTGTTCCATTAAACAAGAAGGAATCAATAGAAAAATATTCCTGGGTTGCAATGCTTGAATTGTTGTATGCTTGCAGCAATTGATGGGTGCTAGTCAATGTTTTGCATAAGTGTTTATAATTATGATAATTTCGAGCACATCGTTTAAAATAAGAATGCTTGCTCTCAAATCGCAGTGTAAACACACGTATGAGAGGGCCATATCGTAGTATAAGCTGTGGGTAATGACACAAATAGTGATGTTTAGGTAAAAGTTTATTATAAGGAAACAGTTCCTTTCGTCCAGACAAATACTCGTGTATTAATGTCTGTAGGTATGAAATATGTGCAAGATCAATCTTTGGAGAACAAACCAACTCCATAATTTGTTTTAATTTAAGATACAGTAACAACACAGAGTCCTCATAATTAGTTACATATGATCCAATAATTATGGAAAACAAACGCAAACATGGTTTGTCTTGTGCATCATTTTCTAAATACTTAAGTATATTTATTCTTCTATTCAGGTTGTTATAAGAAAACCATCGCTTAGTAACAAAATACTTAATAAAAAGATACATATCTTGTGATACTTAGAAGCTTTATTGTTAATGTCAGAAATAGCAACACCAGATATTGAAATTTCCTGTAAATCAGACAATAAAGGAGCAAACACCTTCTTTAAGCCAAAAAACTTAAAATCAACATCTCGACACATAAGCACTAATTGTAGTTGATCGGATGTGTATCGTTTTTGGGACGTAATATTTGCTAATGTCAGATAAACAGCTAGTGTTTTATTTTTTTTCTTTCCTGAACCAATAGGATTTGTAACTTCAAAGGAATCTTGGAACAACATGAGGTATATTATATTTTCACTAGATATTGCAATTGATTGCATGAGTGATCCACTAGAAATGTCTGTAAATACACCTGAAGTACTACTGTGTTTCAGCCAGAATCCAGTATTGTTGCTGTGTCTTGAGTACAGCATACATATCAAATCTTTTATTGAAACATATTGGGCTGTTCTAAATTTTTTATTATTATCATAACCTAATGCAAATTCAACAGGCTTTATGTAAGCCATACTTTTATGGTAAAAGGTTTTCCTGCTTTTTACACTGCGCAAAACATGCAAAGAACTTTTTTTTTATGTTCAATATTGAATAATTCTTTAAGAACATCATCTCTAACATTGATAGGAAGACTTGACGTTGCAGATGATAGAGTATGCAACAAATACTCAGTACTGTAGTTATTAGCAACTTCAAGCTCATCTGCAATGCTTTGAATGCATGATACTGGAAGAATGTGTTTCACTTGTAATTTAAAAAAAAAAATTGCTTGACATTGCACATAGTCTTCCAATGTAATACTTTTACCTTTATTTAAACTTTCTCTAGGGCACAACTCAGGTGGATTGTAATTTTCTAAAATTGTTGCATGGATGTCATTATTAACACTATCTGGGATATCTGGAATGAGTGTTAAATATATTGATTTTATATGTCGTGCATCCCAATTATTATGCTTTCTTGTCCAGTGAGATGCTAATGAACTTCGATTATAAAGAACTGTATTGCATTTTATAAATGGACACACAATTTTATCATGTGAGTCACTATGAGTTTTTAGGTGAATAAAAAATTGAATTAATCCTTTACATACTTGTTTGCATAACGTAATGCCACATGTAAACAATATTTCAGTGTCTTGAAATTTTGACCAAGCAAGTGTACTAACTGTTTGATTATTATGAGCAGTTTTTACATTTATTTTGAAAGAAGAGTAGCTTTTAAAATTTCTGTTGCAATTGTTGACACAAGGAAAATATATGTTTGCATCATGACAGTGGCATGAATAATGAGTAACATAAGCTAATAAAGATTTTGCTTGTAGACCACATATATGACACTTTAACTTTAAATTTTTATAACAACTTTCACGTGGAGTTAATTGTGCATAATTGACTTTAGAATAGATAAACTATTTTTTGTACTAAATCCATTGGTACTATCAATGTCAATAACTTCAATGTTTAAAGATGTTAATTTAAATCGAACTTCATTAGAATCTGTTAAATATCTACTGTACTGTTTTTAAAAAAATGTACAAATCTGAAACAAACACAACTTTTATGACCACAGCAGTTCCTTCACTGGTCTAAAAACCATGACAGTCTCTACTATGTGAATCAAAAAGAAGAAGAAAATTATCAAATTTGACTATTGCAACAAAACTATCTTTTATACATAAAAGACATGTTGGAGACAGCTTAAATGCATCATCAAAAGCATGTTTAATTGATTTGGTACTGAATATATTGACATCATTTTCTAATTGCAATAAATTACCAATTCCTATGTCAGTAATCTTGAGCGTATTTTTTTTCCCAGAACAAATTACATGAGTTGGCAAATCACTTGGCAATAAATAATCTGTATTTATGCCATTATCTCGAACATTCAGGTAAAGACTGTCTCCTTGCTTCAAAATATAATTTAGATCAATACTTTGTATACCATAATTTTTTTTTATTTTATTTATTGTATAACACAGAAATATAACTGAATTTGTTAAACATTGTTTTCCTCGTAAAAAATCTGAAAAACTAACATTACCTTGATGTAGAGCTGCAGAAATACAAGTATTTTTTGATAATTCTGTCCATATTGGTCCAGTAAAAACAGAAAGTTATGACATTTTATGATTAATACAACTTTACAGAAATTTAATACAATTAAATATTACCAATATTATGTATTCAATATTACCTTGTGCACCAACACAAGTTAAAATAGTTAATTGCACAAAAACTCTTATATCAAAATTGGAATGCTTTTACTTATACTAATAACTTATTAAATAAGTTTATTATTAAATAAGTTAATAACTTAGTTATAAAACACAAAATATTAAATGTTAGCGAATTAAAAATTAGTCTATAAATAACTAGAGTAATAATATTGAAGTGCAATTATAATTTAATTACAGAGCTATTTTATCATGTGATTCACATGCTGACATATTAAAATATGTAAAAAGTATGTTTAGAAAATTAAAGATAACAAGTTTAAATTTTAATAAAATAATAAACATGCTTATACTATACAATAAGTGTTCACATTTATCGTATAGCAGAACTTTACGGTGATACCGTGATGGTGCAATAACGGTGTAATGTCGTAAACTTTACAACATAATGCCGTGAAGACACTATTAAGGTAATATACCGTAAAATGTCGATAAAGTACCGTGCATTTCACGGTAAAGTTTTACAGTGTAGAAAAAATGCTGCTTCTTTGATATATGTCACTAATCACGCTCAAGAAAGAGTGGAATATCTATGATTTTAACTTATATAAATTTGCTTTTGCTTGGAACCATTATTGCAAGTTTTGTGTTATCATGTTTTTAGAGGAAAAACGATATTACGCAATAAAGGAAATAAAACAATGAAAAGTTTTATAAAGAATTTAATGAAGTTGGATGAAGTTAAGAAGTTGTGAAGAAAATAGTTCAATCAAGTTTCACCAATCACGTCTAGCTGCTGCTATTATGGGAGGAAACAGTTTAAAGTTTCTTGCATAACGGTTAATTTATTAGGATTTATCAAAAATAAAACCTGAGCAGATAACCAGCCTTTGTTTACAATATACAGAAAGAATGGAGCGTGGGATGAGAAATTTAATTTTAAAAAATGGCTGTGAAAACGTATGTCGGGTTCACTAAAAACTTTTTTTCAGTTGACATCATGAAACTTTTATGGAGGATCTTGATGACAATCCTGTTCTGTAGCAAACCTTATGTATTCTTGCAGGAGATTCTCTATCACTGAGCAAGTGATTAGCAATCCTGTGCAAACCCAATAAGAAAAATGACGTCGGAACAACGTTGTTCTAACGTCTTTCGTATCGTTGGAAAGACGTTGGCATGATGTTATAAATGAAACACCGAAAAAACGTAATTTTACTAACGTTATTACAACGATGTAAAATGACGTGGTGACAACGTTACATTTTAGCTAAATGACGTCGGAAAGACGTAAAAGCAACGTTAAATTTGAAGAAAAAAGACGTTATAATGACGTTAGGCTAACGTTATATTTTAGCTAAAATGACGTTGAGCCAACGTCTTTACTCTATCGTTTTTTACACGTTGGAATAATGCCATATATGAAACATAGGTCAACGTTATATTAACAATGTTGCGAAATGTTGTAAGAAAAACGCCCTCCAACGTTTTTCTATCATTTTTGATGTTATTTCTACACTGCAAAAAACAATAAAGGACAAATTTACACTGTATAACTTTGCGCTGTCAAGCTATATTTCTTCTTATTTATTTAGGTTATACACGATTATTATATTAGTCCGGGCAAATAATTAAATACGGAAATTAAAAGACTAAAAATAAATAAACATTGCATCACTTCTATTCCAAAATTTTAAAATTATATACAATAACTTAGAATGAAACTAGTTTGATTTTTACTTTCTTTGCAAATTTCAATCATATCTCAAATAATTCGCGTATTCTTTGTTTGACACTAAAAGACAAATATATATGAAGAAACATAAAGTTACAAACAAATCCAATTAAAAGCATTTTTTCCAATTAAAAGAACTAAATAAAAAACATTTGGAATAAACAAATAGAAATACCACAAATACCAGAAATTGCGCTAACTTTCTAATTGATGCTAACCTGAGTTTTTCTGCTTTTGAAAGATTATCGACTGTAAATCGTTTAGCAACATTATCTGAAATAGAATAAACAATACCTCAGTAAAATGGAAAACTAATGAAATTACCTCCAAAATAATTTTAATTGAATAAATAAACAAAATTGATTTAAAACACACAATCATGAAATAATGGAAAAAAATATGTCTAGTTTTAACCTCAAAAGATATAAAATATCTTTGAGTTCAGATTTCTGGAAAGTTATTTTTTTACAAGTGTTATTTTGGCAATATATTTTTTTATAACATGAATTGCATGGTAAATAAAGAAACTGAAATGGTACATTTTTACTAAGCAAAGAATCAAAAATTGTTTTTATAAATAGCTCTTTTTAAGACTAATGATTACTTTGTTAGGTGTTTTTTCTTCCAATCCGAACTACTTATATTTCACTTAAACCCTTGCCATTTGAGCAAGTGGCAACTTCTTACCAAAAGCCAATAAATTTTTAAATAAAAAGGCAGATATATCAAGAAGCAATTATTCAGAAAACTATAAAAAATGTCAACTTGCGGTCCTTTATTGAAAAAAAATTATGTCGCTTTTTTTGCTTAAAAATATAATTTGCCATTTGTAAAAAATGTTAAAGCTGAAACAAATGTGTGAAATAAAAGTTCAAAATGCGAGTCAAAATTAACCAATAAATTAAAGATAATTTAAAAACATGTTATAATAAATATAAAGTACTAGGTTTATTTAAGGTTTATTTCTATTTTAAATTTCAATCCCTTTTTAATTGAAAAAAAATTTAGAAATCATAAATTATTACTTTACAAGAACTCTAATTTCCTTTTAACACTTTTACATATATAGATTACATATATAGATTTAAAATATATTACATATATAAAGATATATTTACTTCATATATAAAAAAATAGTTAAACAGTATTTGTTTACAAATTTCATTCGTCATTTGTAAAAAGGACAAAAGCGGGTTCACTTTTTGAATTGAAGTAAGACAACTAGTTTATATAAAACATCATTGGTTAATACACATGTGATCATTATGGAGCATACTTTTAATATCAATGGCTAGATGTGAAAACCAAGACAAATATAATTACAATAATTTTTCAGTATTCACATGATTGCTGCATTTAGACAAGCAAATTATATAATGAAAAATGTGCAACTAAATGTTTAACTGGCCATTGAACAAGGTCAAAAATTAAAAATCAGGACAAATATCAAAGGGTTTACTAAATGAGCACTTTTTATAGAGAGTTAAGTAAAATATAATATAGGATCACTTTCAAAAATATAAAAACTATTGGAATAGGCTTAAAGAAAAAATCACTGATTAAACTTCAATAATTACCATATTTTGACAATTTTCATAATTCAAATTAGCATTTTTTAACTTTTAAGGAATGAACTTTTATAATAAAAATACTTCAAAATGTTCTATTGATATCATTTTTATAGCCATTTGTATTAGTTTGCTAATGTGTTATATAAATATTCACATGCAATATGTATACTCATTTAAAGTAATATTAAAATAATAATTAACAAAATCTTTGCATTTACTCATAATGCCTTCAATGTTCTGAATATACATAAAACAAATTAAAATATAAATTAAGAAATACAAAAATTACCTCTGAATTAAGTCCTTAACATATTTTGGTAACTTTCCGCCAACACGTGAGAGTTAGCCTAAAAAAGAAAAAAATATAAAAAAGGCACATTAAAGTGTTTTACACATAAGATCTTATTTAAATATTTTTTACTGCATTCACTAAGGTCAAGCCTTAAAGACCCAAGCTTATTTAATAAACAGTTAGAACTGAATAAGTATTTTACCATGATTCAATTAGAGCAATCATGGCAAACTCATAAATATAAAACATTTTTATTCACTAAATTTTGTAACGGAAATAAAATTTTAAAACATTAGAATTATTCAATATTGTTTTTTCACAATTTTGTTAGGCTGCAACCAATCTAAAATGTTAAAAAATATTTATAGGCTGAATAAATAGGATGACATAATTTGTAACAGCAAATGATTTAGATTCATTTTAATAAAATAATTGTACATTTTTTGCTGTTTCAAAAGCTGGGCGTTAAAATATATTTGTCTAGGTTTTGTTCTCTAAATCACGTTAAACATATTGAAATCAAACTCACTAACTGTTGAGCAAAGCCTTTATTACCAATTCTTAGTGTAAACTCGTTCAAATATTCTATTGTTAAGTTTAAGTTTAAGATTAAATAATGTGATTATGTATATTTAAGTCGACTTGTTCTGATTTTAAACACCTTGATAACTTAGTACTTTAACTCTGCACATAAAAAAAAATAACATTCAAAAAGTATATATTTTAACTTGGCATGAGTTTTATTAAAATATAAGATTAATTAGTTTTTCGGTTAGAAAGATAAGAGAATAAGTAAATGATAGTACTATGACAATATATATATATATATATATATATATATATATATATATATATATATATATATATATATAATATATATATATATATATATATATATATATATATATATATGTATTTTGGTAAAACATATCAATTTTAAAAACTATATCATATCACATATCATACACAAAAACTACACACAAATATATTTGACATAAACTTTATTAAAATACTTCGGAGTTATTGAGTTGAGAGGGGGTTATAACCACAATTGAAATAAAAGGAGCCTCCTCAACTGCAGCACCCGTTATGGCTTTTATGGCCAAAATCAGCTCTTTCTTTCAACTCTGAAACTAGGGAAACATGAAATTGTGATTCATTTTGAAAATTAAATACTGACTGAGTGTATATAATCTAACACTTTGTGTGTATTGATTTAAATAAATATTTTGTCTATTATGACTAAGATCTAGTGTAAAATTTAGATGTTCTGTTGCTGTTTCTGTAGGATATGTTTTTTGCGTGAGAAGTTATGAGTTCTATCCTTACCATGTTCCTGGTAGTAACCCGGAGGTGAATAACAATAAAAAAAAAAAAAACTTAATAAAAATACATAAAAAATTGTTTACCCTTTTTCGTGACTTGAGACTCAAGCTTCAGTGTTAGTTATAATATTGTAGGAATAGCATGATATGATTAAACCAATATACAAATTCGTAAAAGAAACACATTACACAAGTTATAAGAAGCTTATTAGGTAATTTCTAGTCTAGTTCCACAACAAACTAAAAAACTTTTCATTCAAATAAATAAAATATATATTATGATTAAGACATTGTCTTAATATAATTAATTGTCTTAAATTTATACTTAATATATTATGTATATTGCGTAA